CTTCCTTCACCCAATTAACTGTGACTGGGGGGTAGGTCACACAGCACAAGTCCAGGCCCCTCAGCTGACACTCAGAAGTGCTGTGTGTGGAAGCAGTCTCCAGAAAGACAGCACCCCAAGGCATGTCTACTACAGGAGTGATACAAAGTCACTGCTAGATGATAGACACTGAGCTATGTGGCACGTGATCCTCACTGCAAACATTCAAGGTTACTACAGATTATGGAAACTGAGGCTCACAGAGTCAAGGTAACTTGCCTAGGCTCACTCAGCTGGTAAGGGGGGAGCAGAAATTCCAACTCAAGTCCACCAGGTTCCACGGCGCTGCGCTTGCCTGTCTGCCATCCAGCCCAAGGCGACTGCACCAGGAGATGGCACCATTTTGTGAGGCCAGGAAAAAAGCAGAGGTTAGCAATCTACTTTGCCTATACCAACCGCCAGGCCATAATAAACACCAGATGAAATCACAGACTGGGAAGTCCTTGGGAAAGCTGAACAAAGACAAATGTGAAGTCTTGACTGTGCCTGCCACCACTGTCCCACAGTATGGCATTTGCTCACTGGCATTTGCTCTCTGGCATTTCCATGAGGACTGCAGAGTATTTTTTTCACCTCTGTTCTCTGTGATCAGGATTGGTCAAGACCACAGCAGGGGTCTTAGTAGCTGTCCAAGACCCCCTGGAAGGAACCGCCAGCTGCTTACAATCTGGTGGTGTGGCCCCACATAAACAGGATCTGAATTTTCAGCCTTGAACTTGGCAATCCAAGGTGGGTGGCTGTTTGAATTGGAGTAACCTACTTGTTTTTCACTAAGAAACTTTGCCAAAAGAGGTGGCTAACTGGGCTCAAGTTGGGCATAGCAGAACATAAACCACTATCACAGGCAACTCTCAAATGCTAATGCCACCCTCAGGTCCCAAGATGGGAGTCAAGCACACAGAGTCCCAGAAGGGAGGGGGGTTTGCAGGGGTCTGTCCACACTTTGACATGGTAGATCAAAAGATATGATCTGAGGCCATGGACCGGCCATGCTCTTTGGCCCTTGTGTTCATTCATTTTATGTGTCAACCTGGCTAGACTATGGTGCTCAGTTGTTCGGTCAAACACTCCTCTAGACATTGCTGTGATGGTATTTTCCAAATGCAATTAACATTTATAATCAGTTCACTCTAAGTAAAGGGGATTACGCTCTATAATGCAGGTGGGACTCCTCCAATCAGTTGACAGCCTTTAAAGCAAGAACTAAGGTTTCCCAGGAAAGGAATTCTGCCTGAGTTTCCAGCCTGCTGGCTGGCCTGCCCTCCAAGTTTCAGATTAGAGACTTCAATATCAACTCTTATCTGAATTTCCAGCATGCCAGTCTGCCCTGCAGTCCTTTAAAATAGATCCCTCTCAATTGCTCTCTCGCTCTTGCTCTCTTGTTTCCTCCGGAGAATCCTGGCTGATACAGTCCACAAAGACTGGACCAGGAATGGTAGCCTGACAACACTCCCCTCACACTGACTCAATAGCTGCTACAGGAGGGAAGCATCTTGCTGCACAGGGCCCAGGAGCAGGTGTTATAATCCGAGTCCCTTCCTCCCTCCACAGGCTCCTGTCTCTCCCCCAGAGACTCGGGTAATTACCCCAGAGAGCCAGGTTTCCCTTCTCAACTCTTCTAACACCAGTGGCTTTTCCTCCATGACACTTTTGCCAGCTTAGAATTCAGCAGTTATCACAAGAGAGTATCTGATTAGTTGTCTGACTTTCTCCCACTAGACTGTGAGCTTCCTAAGGGCAGGGACTACTTGTTTCTACTCACTGGTGAATTTTTGGGGTCTAGCCCAGTGCCTGGCACACAGACAGAGCTCAGCACTCAGTAACTGTTCAGTGGCCATGCAGCAAGGATCATCTGCAACCCTCAGTCATCACCCTCCACCCCTTCTGTCTGCACAGAAGTGGGAAAATGGGCTGTGACCCAAAGCAGGAAACCACCCTCCCTTTGACTAATAAATGGCAAACAAGAATGCTGCCAAACCTGCATACCTTTAGCTTATCCCTATCGACTCGTTCCTAATTTGAACTCACAATGAGCACAAATAGCTGTTTATAATCCAAGTGGCTGTTACTTGTACAAAGCTGTACTGTGACCCCCAAAGCATAAATCAGGAGATGAAGGTAAATCATGTATTTCAATTAAAAATGTGGAACACATTCCAACAACCCTGTGGCTTCTCCAAAATAAATCAAGATCAAAAAGGAATAAAACTAAGTTGAATCCTTCTATGTTTAAGGCACTGTGTGAGGTTAGTTCAAACGTCAGTATCATTGGCCTAAAGGGGCAGATTTTTCAGAATTATGTAATAGATTCGACAAGTTTTTGCAAGTAAATTTTCTTTTCAATATGAAAACCTTCTTTCAGAGGTTGATAAGGGATTAATTTAGTGGTGGTGAAAGGGTCCATTGCCCTTCAGAGCCCTGCCTCGTGTGGTCTTCTTGGGAACCTATTGCAAAATCTTCATTTCAGACCACTTGGCTAGGATGGTGTTTAAATAAAGGCATCTCTTTTCCAAATCAAGTTGCCATTTATTAAAGCTGCCATTCTTCTCCTTAAGATCCAGTTCCACATTCATTTGCTTGTTTACCGAGTCTCAGTTGGTCTTTTTTAGCCCCACATATAAATACATCTCCAACTTTGATTTAAGGCCAAGGATTACTAAAAGCAAGTCAGACTTCAGAATGTTGTTCTTTCCTGTAGGAAGGCCTTATCGGATCCCATCACACACATATTGATTTTGTGAAAATAAACTCACTTGAAAACCAATAAGAAGCCCAGCTTTGGGACCAGCGACAGTAAAAACAAATCATAAATGTAGCTATGAGCTCTACTGGCAGAGGCTTCTTTTTTCTTCCAAACATGGCAAAGGGTCTGCTAAGAGATGTCCAATTCTCCTGCAATTCTGGATTGCCCAAAGCAAATATAATTTGAAGCAGTGATATCCAGTAGCACACTGAAGTCGTGTGAGTTGACATGAAGTCAGGAGTAATTGATTTCAGAAGGAAGGATTTCTCCGGACAAAGGAATAATTATGTTTATAGTTGTCTTTTCAGACATTTGAGTTTAGCTTGCCAGTTTGTTCACAAGAAGATAGAAATTTTAGGAAACTGGAGGAAGAATTTCTTCCATGTGAATTGTTAATCTCCCTGCTAACTCTGAGATCTCTAAAGAGAAATGACTCATTTATGCCTCAGCTCAACCTGCTTTCTGGCCATGCATTAAGGAAATATTATAGAAAGGTCAACATTTTCTCTGCTAGATGAGGTCCTTAGGAATCCCACAGCCTGCTGGCTGACTTCAGCTGGAATGGGTGTTTCAATTGGCACTGCTAGTATTTTTTAATTGAATTTCTGAGTCTTTGGACACACCAGCCCTTCTATAATATATACACTTGGTTCATTTCACTCATTTACTTTACCTGCTGGCTCTTGAAGGCATCTGAGTTTATTAATCCTCATAAAGATGGAATCTTTCTGAAAAATGTTGTCATTCCTAGCATTCTCAAACAGAATATCTAGAATATAACTTAAACTTCTCTTAATAATTTAAGTTTATTACTGTGAAACTCAGTGATTATAATATACAGAAATGCCCTCTTGGATTATTCAGATTTTTGTATACTAAATAGCCCCAGGATGCTATGCTCCTTGGGGTAGAAAGGTCCCTTTCTACCTGAGTATTAACTATTCCATTTCACTGTTGCCTGTGTGACTGCTGTCACCATGCCAAACACACACACACAGACTCTTGACACACACAAACCCCTTCTAACCCTCTGCTGTCCTGTGGGCTAGAAAACAAGAAGGTAATTTGATTAGAATTGTGTACAAAGTAAAAGTAAATAGAATCCAAGTCAAGAAGTCCTTCAGGAAGATACTTCTCTATGATAGATAAACTTTAATGCAAGTTCTTCATTCACCATTTTGATTGCTCAGAAATCATCATTGTTCAGTTACTGGCTCTTAAAAAAAGGTAAATACATGACTCCTGTCTAATGAAAGGGTTAGCGATTGAAATTCTAGCAACTGAAATCCTATGCGTGGGAGAGTAGGCTCTCCCATGAAGAATCAAATCCCACTCCCTGAGCTGCATAAGAGCATGGCCACTGACCTTCAATTCTTGGCCACCACAGCCATCTACGAAACAAACAGCCAGGAACAAAGAGCCCTGGATGCTCTACCCTTGAGTTTAATCAGAGCATAACCACCTCATTGGAGGCTCTGAGAGCATATTGCATCCAGCCCTGCTGGACAGGCTTCCATGTAAACATTAACTGGACAACTATGGCCGAATTAGCCCAGCCAAGGACATCTTCCCACTCTGTACTCAGAGGCCACCAAGGCAGTACATTTAACGGGACTGGGCTGCTTTGCTCCCGCCACATCCAGTCAGGCCCACTGCCCACCTCCAGTTGTCACCCCTTCTCACCTGGGCTACTGCAATGACCTTCTGCTTCCCATCTGTCTCCCTGAGCCATCTGGCCAAACTTCCCAACCCTCTGCTCTCTCTGCATTGCTTCCAGGTGAAGATAAACTTCAGTCTGTCTCCCTGTTACCTGGAGAAGAAAAGGCCACTGTCCTCACCCTCCATCACTGGTTGGACCTCAACCTCACTGCAGCCCCAGGCCTGGCTTTGCCCTCCGGACCACAGTCATTGCTGCGTCCTGCCTTTCCTCATGCTCTTGCAGCCTTCTGGAACACCATCTCTCTTCCTCTCTGCCCAAACTCCACCCATCCATATCCTCACTCAAGACACCATTCCCAGCCACCCTGCTTTTCACAGGTTGCTCCTTTCATTCAACTCCTTTTAGTCCCTAAACATCTAAGCAGCCGTGTTCTTTTCCACTGTCTTGGGAGCAGGCCCTGTAGTAGAGCAGGGGTCTGACCTGAAACTTCTTTGGTGTCCCCTACTCAATTTCTATCCCCTAAATACTATAATAACATGCTCAATGAACACAACTGACCTTGTACATGAAAACCATAAGAACAGCCAGGGTAGTACTTGGAGAAACTGCAGTCCTCTGCCAGAATGACACATTGCCCTTCCAGTCGCATGGAGGAAGTGCATTTGGGCCAAGTTCCCAGGCAGCTCGCAAAGAAAAGGCAAGTCAGCCCCCTCCCCTCCCCCAACCTGCCCCGCTCTTGCCAGACATCATTTAAAATGCACTTCAGCGTGTTTGCCTTTTATGTGGAAAGGAAACAAGTCCTGACATTCTGTTTCTCCCATTTCATTAAGGACGGAGGTCACCCCCGGGGAAGGAGAGGGGTAGTTTCCAAAGAGAACTTGTGAGGGAGAGGAGGAGGGGAACGCTCTCATCCTTTCTCTTCACCTTCTGAAGAGAACAAGCCCAGCTTTCACGGTGAATTACTTCCAGGGCGGCCTCTGCCAGGACTCGGCTCGCTCGCTGGCTGAGGCAACACCCCAAGGACTGAGTGATAGCGCAAGGTCAGGCAAGGTGTCCACACAGAACGGGCCTGAGGAGGTGGCACTAGGACAGCAGGGAGATAAGGGAGTGGAGAAGGGGGTGAGGGAGAAGGCGGGAGGTATGTGTTATATGGAGCAAAAAAGCACTGAACCTGCGGGTCTGTCTCTCCCTTTCTCTCTCTCTGTCTCTCTCTGTCTCTGTCTCTGTCTCTCTCTCTCTCTCTCTCTCTCTCACACACACACACACACAAACACACACACACACACACGCACACACTCCTACACAGAAACACATTCTTTGCTTTGCCCTCCCTCCCCTTCTCTAACTCCCCAAGGCATTTCTATAAATAAACAATAAGACCCTGAGCCTGCCAGAGGCCCATTATTAACCCTAGCAGTGTTCTGGCTCTAAGTGTGTCAATCCTCACAGTTTTCCTCACTTCACCCTTTGCAATGCCCTTTCCCGCACGTACTCTCCACCTGACCCCTACTTCACGCATCTAAAAATCCTCTGAGCCCCTCCCCACCTGTCCCACGCGCAGATTCCAGCACCCCGCACCACATGCTCCAAGTTTTTATCCTTAAAACTATAAGCTTCACGTTGTGCTACTCAAAAAAATTGACTACAGTTCAGGTCACATGCATTTGTCTTAATTTTAAAAATTTTTGATTGACAAATAACAATTGTATAGATTTATTGGGTCAAATGTGATGTTTTGATACATGTATACCTTTTGTGAAATGATCAAATCTGGCTAATTAACATACCCATCACTTCACATACTTATCGTTTCTTTGGGGTGAGAACATCAAGATCTATTATTTTAGCGATTTTGAAATATGCAACACAGTATTATTAACTTTAGTCGCCATGCTGTGCAATAGATCACCAGAACTTTCTCCTCCTATCAAAATGAAGCTTTGTACACTTTGACCAACATTTCCCCATTCCACATGCACCACCAAGCCCCCTCAGCCACTGGTAACACCAGTCTACTCTCTACTTCTAGGGGTTCAATTTTTTTAGATTCCACATGCTAAGTGAGAGCATGCCATATTTGTCTTTCAGTGCCTGGCTTATCTCACATAGCATAATGTCCTCCAGGTTAATCCTCATTGTTCTGAATGACAGAATTTCCTTCTGTTTTAAGGCTAGGTATTAATAGTATTCTATTGTATAAGTATACTACTATTTTTTATTCGTTCATCTGCTGATGGGCATTTATGCTATTTCCATATTTTGGCTATTGTGAATGATGCTGCAATAAACATGGCAGTACAGATATCTCTTTAGCATATTGATTTCAGTCCACTTGGAAATATACCTAGAAGTGAAGTTGCTGGATCACATGGTAATTCTATTGTTAGTTTTTTGGGGAACCTCATACTGTTTTCCAAAATTGCTGTACTAATGTACATTCTCATCAACAATGTGCAAGAGTTCCTTTTTCTCACCAACATTTATCTTTCATCTTTTTAATAATAGCCATTCTAACAGATCTGAGATGATACCTCTTTGTGATTTTAATTTGCATTTTCCTGATGATTAGTGATGTTGAACATTTTTTCGTGTACCTGTTGGTGATTTGTATGTCTTCTTTTGAGAAATGTCTGTACAGGTCCTTAGCCCATTTTTAATAGAATTATTTGTTTTTTTGTTATTGAGTAGTTTGAGTTCCTTGTATATTTTGGATATGATCTCCTTATCTAATATATTATTTGCAAATATTTTTTCCCAATCTGTGGGTTGTCTCTTCACTCTATTAATTATTTCTTTTGCTGTGCAGAAGCTTTTTAGTTTGATACAATCTCAATTGTCTATTTTTGCTTTAGTTGCCTGTGATTTGGGGATCATATCCAAGAAGTCATTACCCAGACCAATGCCATGGAGTTTTTTTCCTATGTTTTCTTCTAGGAGCGTTATGGTTTCAGTTCTTACATTTAATTCTTTAACCATATATAATCTGAAAACATTATTTGCATGCCCCTAATAATCAGAATCACCATTTATTTACTCTGTCTCAGGCACTATGCTAAAGTCTTTACATGCATGATTGCATTTAAATTCCACAGGAATCCTGAGAGGTCCATATGGTCAAGGCATTTTGCAGATAAGGAAAGAGAAGGGAAGCTCTGATGTTGTGTTACTTGACATAAGTGTAGAGTGTGGGGTGCAGTGTCTTGAACCCAGGTCTGTATGACTATAATGCACATGTTCTTAACTCCTGCCCTGAGGCCCTCCTGAGTTCTTTGGCATCTAAGATTCCAGGGCATTTATTAGGTCTTCAGATATCTCAAATACCAGGATCAATAACCAATTAAACTTCCCCATGCCTATAGTGGTGTTTTTTACTTTTCATTTCAACAAACATTTCTTTGGCCAGGCTCTGTACTAGGTATTGTGGATAGAGCAGTAAATAACACAGACATGTCCTGCCCTCATGGAGCTTGGTCTAGTTAGGGGAGACGGTCCATAAATGAACACACAATTAAACAAATGGACCAATTCACCAAGAAGCTTTAAATCCACAGAGAATAAACAGGACATAGTTTTAATTTTTTCTTCTGTCCTCGACTGTGTTAGGTCAAATCATCTCCTTCCCCCTTCCCTCCCCTCTAAAGTATTTTAGACAGTTTGCAATACTTCCTATCACTTTCAGTTATTCAAATTTGGTACAGACCAATTTAAACTCTCATCTCACATATGATCCCAAGCCCTTGTCCTCCCAGAGTAGACAAGACTTGCTGGTGGAGGGGCTGGGTGTGGATTGGGTGAGTTCTGCTCTGTACTCACCTCCTTACCTGCCTCTTCCAGACTGTGGTTCCCTTCTTTATGGGGGTGGGAAAAGGGAGCGGTGCTTGAGTTCTTGCTACACATGCTCCAGACCCTTGTTACTGGAGACCCTCATCCAGACGGCGACCATCTTGGGCAGGAGCTCAGCTCAGGCCCAGTACCTTCCTCTGTGTCCCATTGACCCATGGGAAATTCAACCATCCTGCACTGCCAGGCTGTAGAGGGACCCTCCCCCATTGCCATCCTTTCTTTCAGCCCTGCCTTTTCTCTCCAGTGATTCTTTTGCTCTAGGACAGAGCCCACAGCAGGACTACTGCTGAGGCAAGCGGTCAGCTGGGCAGTATAATGCTAGTGATTCTCTGAGCACTTTCAACTCTCCTTTGGCTTGGAGAAGGGAAAAACACCCTTCACCCTGCCCTGGGAGGAATGCTTTCACCCGGAACTCTCTTCCTCCCATAGGCTGAGGACTCTGCAGCCCCTGCTCCAGCTCAGCCTTTCCTCATAGCCTGGAACAGGGGCAGGGCTGGTGGGATCAGGGCCAGTTCCACCACTTCATTGTTGAAGACCGGTTGGGAGCTCTCTTTAGAAACACGAAGTGCTTAACACTCTCATGTCACCTTTGGGCCTTGGTAACAGTTCCAAGGTAACAGAAAAAGTCCTGCTCCCCACCCTGCTCCCCAGGCACAATTATAATTGTGAGACATGTGAGGAAAGAAAAATAACAGGGTGCTACAAGAGTTGGGTTCGAATTCCAGCTCTGCTCCTTATTGATCATGTGACCTTGGGCAGGTTACTTAACCTCTCTGTGCCTCAACTTCCTTATATGGAAAATGGTGACGATAATAGCATATACCTCATAGAATTAAATAACATAATGTAAGTAAAATGCTTAACATAGTGCCTGACACATTAATAAATGCTCAGTAAATGTGAGTTCCCTGAGGATATGGATTGAGAGATCGGCACTTCACAGGCACTGGACACATTTGATGAAATCATGAATAAGAGAGAATAGCAGGGAAGACTTTTCTGAGACTGGGCAGTCAGAGACTGGGGCAGTCTTCACTCTGAGGAAGTGGTGCTTAAGCTTTGACATGGGGGATGGGGGAGAAATCAGCCAAAGAGCTAAGGGATCATATTGTACTGGGATCATATTACATAATGGACCTAGAAAAGTTGCCTTTGACATACATTACATAAATATGGGGTTATAAGACAGTAATTTCCTCTGGACCAAAGGTTATCATTACTCCTAGAAACCAAAGTCCCCCAGGTGCCCATCCCAGAAGCTCTAACTGTGCCACCTAGGTGGTTGCTTTGGGGATTTGTTTCCACTTTTTCAAGTTGTTAGTCAGGACTTTGGTAGCAACTAGATCAAAATTCTGGCTAGATGGTAGGTCTGATTCCACATGATCTAAGTAGTCAGAGCCAGAGATCGTCAGCTACCACAAGGAAGAGAGTATATCTTAAGTCCAGAGGTAGACATGTGAACAGGCAGTTGATAGACTGGGGTTTACCCAAAGATTAATTTTGAAGGTTGGCTCATCCAACAGAGTACATAACTGGACACTTGAGTCTTTGTGCATCTCTGGTTACAGTTGGTTTTAATTACTTTGAATCTGGTCAGCATTATAAGTGCCTGGGATAAAATATCTGCTGGAGGCATGGAGACAAGCATGTGACTCATCAGCTCCTCTGACTCAGTGGACCCATAGTTGTCATCAGCTGTTAATCTATTGACAGAGTGTGAATGAGGCAAAGGGGCTATGAGAAGCTGTACCAACAAACAGCCAGGAACGCCCAGCCCACTACCTATCTTCAAGACTGAGCCCTT